CTGGCTCCTCCCGTGGAGGCTCTGGGCGGGAGGATCCAGCCTGCTCTGCCTCCTCCCAGGCCTCAGCCATATCGGACACTCAAGGAGTCAGACAGCGCAGAAGGTGACGAGGCAGAGAGCCCAGAGCAGCGAGTGCGGGAGCCCACAGGCCCTGCCCCAGCTCCACCTGACCGAGCTGCCAGCATCGACCTCCTGGAAGACGTCTTCAACAACCTGGACATGGATGTCCCACTGCAGCCACTGGGCCAGGCCAAGAGCTTGGAGGACCTTCGGACCCCCAAAGACCTGAGGGAGCAGCCAGGAACCTTTGACTATCAGGTATGATACCGGGGTGGGGTGGGTACCTGTCAGGGCCGGTGCCTTCCACACACGAGGCAGATACCCCCGTGTGACAGCGAAGGAGACCAAGGGAGAAACAGTGACTTTTCCAGGGTCCTCAGCCGATGCTCAGGGTCAGTCTGACTGCAAACCCTGCCGGGCGGGCCAACAGCCAGACAGTGAGCCGCCCTCACAGCGATCACCGTAGAAGTTGCTACACCTGGTGGAAATCCACCCCTCACTTCCATTTGTGCATCAGACAGGGGTGTGCTGGTGCTCCACTCTCCCAGGACCCCAGCCCCACCCCCAGGCGGGGCTTTGACCCCTGATCCAAGTGGGCGTGCTCCCGTGCCCATCAAGTCTCCTTGGAGAACCTTTGGATCAGAATTCCTGGATTCCGGATTATTTGCTTGGGACCGCTGATCCGCCATTGTGACTTCCGATCTGTCTCATCCCCTCTCTGCGCCTGTCTCCCCACTTGCAAGTGGAGGCTGCTGAGTCTCTGGGTCTGTGGAACTGACAAGAGCTCCCGTGGGTCCAGTGATTCGAGCGCACCCTCCTGCAGGGAGTCCCCTGTTCCCCTGCCGCTGAGGACCAAGTCTGGGCCAAGAGAGGGCAAGTGGCGCCCAGGTAGTGTCGCTTGCGAGTGGCAGAGCCGGGACACGAGCCCAGTCCTGTTTTCCTGCCAGCCAGGGAAGAAACCTTTGCTCAGACCCCGTGCCTCACGCACCTTCAAGCTCACAGGTGATTAAAAGTGCCCACATGCTTTGAAAAGTAAAAAAGACCCAGCCAGCAGACGGTCAATAAATGGGGTCATTTTCCTAAACCTGCTTGGCGACACTGACGTAAGAGGACAAGGGCTTTCTCTGGAATCCCTTTGCGCGGTGAGAAAAAAGCCTGACTTGGAGTCGGAAAAGAGGGAAACAGAGAAGCCTGGGCTTGGCGTCCGGACAGACCCGGGCTCTCTGCTGGTGCCCCGGGCCCGGCTGCTCTGAGTCCCAGGGACCCGGTCGGCCACACGCCTGGGATCCCGGTCTCAGCGCCCACCCGGCACACGGGAGGGGCACGGGGATGGATATGTGCTGCCTTCCAGTCTGTCCAGGTCAGTCTCTGGTCACTGCCTCCCTCTTTCTCTCCAACAGAGGCTGGACCTGAGCAGGAGCGACAGGAGCCGTGGGATGCCAGCGGCCTTGAAGCTCACCCACCCGTACAACAAGCTCTGGAGCCTGGGCCAGGACGACATGGCCCTCCCCAGCAAGCTCCCGGCCAGCTCCCCTGAGAAGCCCTCGTCCCTGCTTGGGAGCTCCCTGGCTCTGCCCCGCAGGCCACCGGCCCAGGACAGCATCCTGAACCCCAGTGACAAGGAGGAGGCGCCCACCCCCACTCCGGGCAGCATTACCATCCCCCGGCCTCAGGGCAGGAAGACCCCGGAGTTGGGCATCGTGCCTCCGCCCCCCACTGCCCGCCCGGCCAAACTTCAGGCGGCCAGCGCCGCCCTCGGGGACTTCTCAGAGCGGCCGCAGGCTGAGTGGGAAAGGCGAGCCCCCCTGAGTCCAGCCCCGTTCCCCGGGCTCCTCCCCAGCGCCGCCCGCCAAGGACCCACCGAACCACTGCAGCCGCTCAGCCTGGCCCCAGGGGCTGCAGGCACAAGTGGTGACGCCCTGCTGGCCCTCCTGGACCCACTTAACACAGCCTGGCCAGGCAGCACCCTTCCACCAGGACCTTCGGCCCCAAATGTAGCCACCTCATTCACACCCCAGTTCGGCTTCCCCCCAACAGGGACCCCCACCCCATTTCCACAGCCATCGCTCAATCCCTTTGTGCCAACCGTGCCAGCGGCTCTGCCCGCCATGCCCCTGGTCTCCACACCAGCCGGGCCTTTTGGGGCCCCTCCTGCTCCCCTGGGGCCAGCTTTTGCCCCCAGCCTCCTGCTGGCCAGTTCTGGCTTCTGTGTCCCACATAGATCTCAGCCCAACCTGTCTGCCCTCTCCATGCCTAACCTCTTCGGCCAGATGCCCGTGGGTGCCCACACCAGTCCCCTGCAGCCCCTGGGCCCCCCAATGGTCGCCCCTTCGAGGATCCGAACATTGCCCCTGGCCCGCTCAAGTGCCAGGGCCGCTGAGGCCAAGCAGGGGCTGGCCCTGAGGCCCGGAGAAGCCCCCCTCCTTCCTCCCAGACCCCCGCAGGGCCTGGAGCCAGCACTGCAGCCCTCTGCTCCTCAAGAGGCCAGAGACCCCTTTGAGGATTTGTTACGGAAAACCAAGCAAGATGTGAGCCCGGCCCCGGCCCCAGGCTCAGTAGAGCAGCTCAGGAAGCAGTGGGAGACCTTCGAGTGAGCCAGGCGCCGAGAGCGAGGGCAAGCCGGGCCACGCGCTGTGCCGCCCGCCGCTGCGCTCCGAGGCTGGCCGGCCCCGCTTCCCCTGCTGTTCTGTTTCCGCCCAGGTTCTGCCGGTGGGAAGGGATGGGTCCCCTCTCTGCCGCCCCTCTTTCCCCTCCACGCCACCCGTCTCTGAGGTCTGGCCGCCAGCAGGTGGTGCCAGTTCTGGCCTGGGAATGGACCCAGCTCCTGGGCGCCCACCCCAGTAGCCCTGCCGTCACCCCTCCCCTGCACCCTTGATTAGGTTTTGCACTAAAGAGGTCAGCTGGGCGAATGACTGCCCCAGACCAAGTCCTACCCACCGTCCCCCTGGAAACCTCCCACCGGGAGCCCCAGGGCTCCACAAGGCCTCCCCTCCCCAGCTCTGTTCTCTTGCCCCAGCCGCAGCTCGGCCCTGCACACCCCCGCAGGAACCAGCACAGGCATCGGTGGTGGCCTCGGTGTGAGCTCGTCTATACCGGACACATGTGGTCTGGAGTTTGGAGTAAGGAGCCCCCCTCCCGGGCTGGAGAGCCTGCCTATCTGGAAGGGCATTTACAACCCTCTCTAGCAATACCCTCACTCGTTCTTTCTTTCTTGAGTCTTCACCCCAACCCCAACCTTCAGTTGTTTCTGGCTTGGGAGGGATTTGGGGCTGAGGGATCCTTGGGAACCCTCTGGCAGCCAAACACAGTCGCAGCCAGCCCTGCGTGGGGGCTGGGAGCACCAGCAACTCTTGATTCGTAGAAGAGAAAATAGCAACAGGTAAACAGTGCATCCGGAGGAGTGGGGCTGCCGTCCTGGGCTCTGCCTCTAGTATGTACTGAAATGGGGCCCAGCTTCTTGTCGCGTGGGACCTCGGGGGAAGAGCCGAGAAGCAGGCACCCAGATCCCAACTGGGAAGCCAAGCTGAATGCCACAGACTGATGCAAGAGTCCCAGCTGCTGTTCAGGAATGGGCAGGGGCTCTGAGCCCTTCTCCAGGCCCTGGGGGAGTGCATGAACTTGGCTTCTTGCAGCCTGGAGGCCGGAGAAGGGCCAGGAGCCACCCCCTCCCCCGCCCACATAGCGTAGAAATTCCTGAGGCCAATGTCACCAAAGCTAAATTGAAATGTTTTGTTATTGTTTCTTTTATCTATCTTTTCCTTTCTACTTTATTGATTTGACGATTCTTAAAATTGACTAGTTTCAATAAACCGAGTTAAAATACGGCCCAACCATTTAAGAAAACAACCATCTGAGACATGCAGGAAATTGTGAGCATTTCGACCTGATTTCTCATTTCCTATTTGTGAATGGTCAGACACACAGTCTCAGAGGTGTCTGACAGGGCCAGGGGGCTCCTGGAGGCCCCCGGAACCCCAAGGAGCCTTGTCATCGTCTGAGGGACCCTGTGTGGGTCCGTGAGGCCGGGAGGGCTGGCCCGGAGTTTCTCGGACACCAGGTGCGAGGAGCTGCTGGCGCACAGCCCCTTCCTGAGCCGATCACGGCCCCTTGGGCAAGCCCTCTCTCGCTCTCAATCTCTGCGTGTTCTCGGCCCGCTGAGGTGGCGAGGGAGCCACGTGGTGTCTGGGCACATGGGCACCTCCAGGATTCTCAGGTGTTTCCGCACCGGTTCCAGATCCGCCCACCCACCCCGGGCGGCCCCCCAAGCCCCGTCGGAGACAAAGTGTGAGATGAGGGATGCTGTGGGGCCCCAGGGAAGCAGAGCCCACCCCGTGGTTGGTCTCCCCGGCTGGGCTGGGGGCTGGTGGCGAGCACTCCATGTTCTCGAGAGCATTGTTGTCTCTTCACTGGCTGGACTGAATTTGCACCCAAGGGTGAATGTTGTGTGTGCGTTCAATAAAATCTTCTTGGGGAGAAGGTTGGTATCCCTGTGTCCTGAGGAAGCTCTGGGGGAAAGGGAGGGCTCAGAGCAGTCAGGGAAGAATTTGACCCCTGGCCCACTCCCCAGCCTCTGTTCCATTTGAGCCTCTGAGACCAGGTCCTTCTCCCTCTGGAGTAGGGCATGGGCAGGGGGTAGTCACAGGCATGCCCAGGCCTGGCCAGTCCTTGGAGCAGGGCTGCAGGTCACCGGTGGTGTTGAAAGTGCCCACGCTCCAGGGAACAAGTTCAAGGGAACAGCAGGAAATTCAGCCCCATAGATAGGTCATTAGCAAGGGCAGAGCCTTAAAAACCAACACCTCTGTTGTGTTGGGGGAGATTGGGACCAAGCACCCAGAGTAGGTATTAAACACACCCAGTCACCCTTCATGTGCCCATCATCTGGTCGTGTCCCCGTCCCTGGGCTGTCCTTGAAAAGGACAAGAGAGGAGGACAACACAGGGCTCCCCAAAAAGTGGCACTTTTATTTATTGGGGTTCCGTGTGTCTTAGGAGTCTGAAAGGACACAGGTTTGTCAAATCCCTGATTTAATAAAGTAAATAACCAAAGCACCAGCTGTGGCTAAGGTGCTGGTACCAGATGTTTCCTCCCCCACCTTCCCAGGAGTCCTAGTGGAGAAGGTTGGGGGAAAGGTCCCACCTCCTACAGGATAAGGGCTCATCAAGCCCCTTACCCTAGCGTTCAGGGCCCTTCCTGTCCCAGCCTCAGCTGAACCCCTCAGTCTGAGCCGCCCACATGCTCCCTTACCCCTCATCACCACGTGGTTCTCCCACAGATTTGATCCTGTGCCTCTGGAAGCTGCCTCAGACCCCAAGGGGAGCTGGGGAAAGTCAACCGCCAATCTAAAACTGGGAAGGGGTCCCCTGGCCTTGGCACAGGAGGTGCTGGCCAAGGAAACAGGAGGGACAAAAGGGCATGTCTCCAGGTCAGGGACAAAGGGACTCCGTGGGGCTGGGAGGAGGCCCGGCACCGGGTGCCGGGAGGGCGGGTGCTCCTCTGGGATCAGTGTGATGGCACTACCAGGGAAGGGACCGACTGGAAGGAAAGCAGCACATTCTTCCTCTGTGTCTGTGTCTGTGTCTGCAGGACCAGCCCCGACACAAAGAGGCCATGCCAACGTTTGCTGAGTTCAGCAAACAACTTGGGAGGACTTCCTGTGAGTCCTGAATCCACCTCCCCCCTGCCCCCCAGCCATTTAGAGAGACGACTGGTCTGTAGGTGAAGGAGTGGCCTCGCCAGGCAGCTGTGACTGGGGAGTGCTGACCCTGGAGAACCAGAGGTGGTCAGGTGGGACGTGGCGGGCGGGGGGGGGGGGGGGCGGGTGCGGGGGTGGGGGGGAGGCAGAAGTTTTGCTCCTTTATCCTCTGGCCCGCTTGCAGGCCCCCGGGAAAGCCCACCCCCAACTTTCTCTCGGCTCCAGCCAGAGGGACAACCCTTCCTGAAAGCTAAAAGGGTGACCCAAACAACCCAGTAGTGCACACCGTCCCGGGCTCTTTCCCCGCTGTCATCCACTGATCCTCACCACAGCGCCGTGAGGTAGGCGGAGGCCGCAAGGTGGGACGGCTGGGGGCAGCCCGTCCTCTGCTCCCGCAGATCCGCCCTGGCTGTGGCCCGACTGTGCCACACAGCTGCCAGAAGGAGCATTTGTCCTGGGAGCCAGGGGCCGCTGGCTGATGACCACCCTCCTTCTGGTTTCCCAGTTGCCTCCAGGTTGGGGACAGCCTCAGACACGGGAGAAGACGCCAGAGCTGGGGGGTCTCGGTCCCTGGGCAAGCCGTGGCCTGGCCTCCCGGAGAACACGTACTGCCCCTGCCCCAGGGCTGCGAAGGGTATCCCCGCTGCCCAGCCACCCCTCTGTGGGGCCTGCACCCACTACACGGTCCTGTGCGCCCACAGCAAAGGCACGGACAGGCCCGCGAGCCCCATCCAGAACACTCTCACTGGCATCTGCAGATCAGCAGTCCCCAGGTACGTGCCCACACGCACTTCTGAACGCACCGTGTGCACCTGCGTGTGCCCCTCCCCGGCACAGCAGTCCGCCTGCCGGGGCACGAGCTGGCAGGTCCGATGGAGACGTCCACGGCCTTGCCAGGCCCCGGTCTGCATCCCTGAGTGCTTCCCGCGGTGCTCCCCTCTCCCGTCCACAAATGGGGCGCAGGCAGGGGCTGCCGGCAAAGGTGACACTTGCCCAGCAGGTCTCCCGGGCTCTCCGGCAGCTCCCCAAGGCTGGTAAGAGGCCAGCCACTTCCCCGCAGGCTCCTGGAAGCGGCTTCCTTGGGTCCTCGGTAGACACACCTCGCAGGTGCCAGAGCCCGCAGCCAGGCAGGTCTAGATGAGTCTCTCCTCGGGCGGCACCTTGAGGACACTGTCCATCTCCAGCCGGGCCCCAGCCACCTCCTGCTGGCTCGGGCTGTAGGTGCCCTCCGACTGGCGGCGCTTCCTGGCCGCCAGGATCCCTGAGAGGAGGCCCAGGAGGAGGAGGAGGAGGCAGGCGCAGGCCGCGGGCACCGCCACCTCCAGCAGTGGGAACGGCAGTGGCAGCGGCAGGCTCTTCTGCAAGAGACCAAGTCACCAGGCCTGAGACCGGGGAGCAGGAGGGTGCGAGCCTGTGCGTGGGGTTTTACGTGACGCTTACAGTGGTCTAACGAAGGGGGAGTGAGGACACTCCCTCGTGTCCCTAAGGACAGGAATCTTTGCTTTATTTTGTTCACCGGTAAATTCCAAGTGCCCAGAGCAAGGCCTGCGTGGTAGCTCTTGGTAAGTACTGAAGGAGAAAACGGGCTTTGCCCAGATTCCCCCACACGACTGGCAAGCCAGGACGGCAGTCTCCTCCGTCTGCCCCCAGTGCCCATGCCGTGGCCACACCACCGTCCTTCAGTCTTGAATTCCAGCTGCAGGCCCTTCCTTTAGTGGCCAGGGATGGCCCCTGCCACCCAGCCTCCCAACTCGGCCTCCCCCGCCCTGCAGTAAACTCTTCCAATCTGAGGCCACGGGGACTTGATCCCTCCCCATCCCAAAGGGTGGTCTGGTTTTTTAGTGTCTGTGGAGACCACGCTTAACTCTCAAGTGGGAGGCCTCTCAGGAAGCAGTAAGAGAGGCTCCCCGCCAGGTGGCCTGTGCAGGGCAGGAAGTGGGGGGGGCGGGCCGACCTAGCTGATGGGGAGCTCAGAATCCACCAGGGTCTGCCCAGCTAGGGAGACTGAGCTTTAGGGAGCCCAGAAGACCTCTCCATCTCCAGTCACAGACTGCCAGGATGCCACCATCAAAGATTCTATGGGCCTGGAATTGTTGACCCCCCCCCCCCCCCCCCCCCACCACCACCTCCCACTAAATCACCAAATTCCTGGATTCTGGAGCCTAAGAGTCTCAGACTCCCCGGCCCTCCCTCTGTCCCGTGAAGCCTCTCAGCCCATTGTGACCTGCATCCCAAGTCCCAGTACCCAGCCCTGAATGAGAAAAGGCATCCAAGGCGGTAGAGAAAAATTCATAGCAGCCCCGAGTGGGCCCTCACCAGCCTCCACCCCTGGGCACTTCTTGGGGAGCTGTAAAGCCATCTCCTCCCTTGGCCCTGGGAGGAGGGTAGGTGGAGGAGACAGAGGCCGTAAAGCTCAACTTGAAAGGAAACATTCCCCAGAAGCAGAGGGGATTTGCGGGTTTATGACCCGGGCTGCCAGAAGCCTGTGGAGATCAAGGCTCCTCCCCAGGCCTCCCGGCCTACGTCTCTCCCATTAGCACCCACTGTGGGCTCACTGCCCACTGGGCCTGTGGCACCTGTTCCACCCCTTGGTGGGGAGGGGGTTTAAGCTCAAGCGGCCTGCTGGGCCCCATCTATCGGGCGCCTCCTCAGCTGAGCCTCCCTGCGGTCACGGGCTGCCTTGGGCAGCAGAGCCAGCTCTGGCTCAGAATCCTGGGCTCTCCAAATCGTCCTGCTCTAGAATTCTGGCACACAAATGACTGGAGATTACAGGCTCGTGTATCGGCCAACTGAAATCCCAGAATTCCAAGATCCTGTGGGTCCCGAATCTTGATCCCCAATAGGACTTGGCCGTGCCCAGCCGTTTCCCTGCCAGTCCCCAGAGGGAGGGCGGGCCCCCCAGGCTCTCCCCACTAGTCCGTACCCCAGGACAGCGTTGGTCCAGGAACAGTGGGCCGTACATGCTCTCCGCACCACCCCCCATCCCCCAATCATCTCGCTAACGTCCAAGACAGGACACCCCCCAAGCCCCTGTAGCATCACTCACCACCACTTCACAGAACTGGCCTGAGAACCTTGCACTGCAGATACATTCATACACCCCACCGGCTGCCCGGCAGGTGCCCCCGTTCAAGCAGGGGTTGGCTTCACAGGGGATCTGACATCTGGGAAGCAGAGAAGGTAAAGGCTGAGGAAGCTGCCTTCTTCCCCATCTGCTTTAGCTTCTCAACACTCCCCCCACCCCCAACCAATACACAGGTGTCCATCCGCTGTCCCCATGGGCTGTCCCCGCCAGGTGACTGAAGCATACTGGGACCTCCACCACCACCCCCCTCTGCCCCAGCTCATGGCTGAGGATGACTGGCTCCATCGGAAGCACAGGGCGGCTGCCCAGGTGTGCTGATGCCCTCTCTGCGGAGTGGGCCCAGAACTTGCACCTGTCCGGTCTCCCTGGGCGACCCGAGGCAGGCGGGCTGAGGACGAGACTCTAAGAAACACCACCAGGCAACTACTTCCCCAGGTGACAGCATAACAGAGGATGGCCTTGGAAAGCCCAGGAGAAAAGCACTCGAGTGGCAGAGGTAGGCTGTCTGGCACTGTGATCACAGTGAGGGGTGGGATGGTGAGCAAGAATCCACACCCCACTTTGCCTGCCCTGGTTGGAGGGCATCCAGGGGCCCACCGTGCCCAGCTCCCAGGCCCCCGGCCCCCAGACCCACCTCTGGCCAGCAAAGCCCTCCTGGCAGCTGCAGTTGGCAGCCCGGGGCCCACCCTCACAGGGGCCACCATTGAGGCAGGTGAAGTTCAAGCTGCACGCCTCTGGCGGGACAGGCAGTCTGGGGAGAAAACACAATGTCTACGCTGGGGGCGGCATCCGGGGAACCTGGCCCCAGCCCCTGAGGCTACAACAGGCCACTGGAGCCTCTGTGTTCTGAGCTGTGGAATTCGGGGCCCACCTGCCACAGACTTAGTGGTGTCTGAGGTGGAAGGGATGGGGCGTAGGGTGGTCCCCACCCCCAACATAGTGCACAACCTTCAGACCCTGGATGGGAACCTCTCCCCACAGAGAGAGTCCTTTGAGAAGCTGATGAAATGTCAGGACTCTCCTTGGAACAAAAACCATGTTCCTAAACGTAAAATTTGAGCCTGGGGAAGGGGGAAGTCAGGCCAGACAACCCTCCCTAAGCTTGCTTCCGAACGGAGTAGGGAGTCAAAACCAGACTGACAGGGGGAAGTGTCAAAACTTCCAACCATCTCCTTCTGCCCCTGTCATCATCCTCAGGGGACTAATGGGCATGAACGTGAATGGTGGGCGGCTAGGCAGGAAAGCCTCCAGGTGTTCTTCCAAACCTAGCCCTGTGTTCCCCCTGCACCCCCAGACGAGAGCGTTATTTATCTCAAATTCAAACTGTTCTGGGTCTTAGCTGGCAACCCTAGGGGCCCGCTGTTCCCATTTCACAGATGAGGGCACGGAGGCTCCGAGAAGGGAAGTGGCTGGCCCACAGAACCAGAGCTTCGGCGCCCCACCCCCCACCCCTGAGGGCCGCACCCCCACCCCCACCCGCCCGGACAACCCACAGGGCCCCTTGAGCCCAGGCCGCGCCGGCCCTCCGCACCTGCAGCGCGGGCCCACGAAGCCAGGCGGGCAGCGGCACTCGAAACTGCCGTCGGGGCGCGAGTGGCAGCGGCCTCGAGCACAGGGCGCCGAGCGACACGGGTCGGCGCGGGCCTCGCAGCGCGGGCCCTCCCAGCCCGGGCCGCAGGCGCAGGCGAAGGCGTCGAAGAGGTCCCGGCAGCCGCCGCCGTGCAGGCAGGGCGAGGGGACACACACGCGCGCTCCGTGGCAGCCGAGGCGCGGGGCCGGAGCCCCGGGCCAGGCCGAGAAGTGCTCCCGCGAGCCGGGGGCCGCGCCGGGCCGCGGAGACGCCAGGGGCAGCGGGAGGCCGCCCACGGCCACGCGACCCAGGCAGCCGGTGAAGTTCTCGGCCAGCTGAACGAGCGCGGCGCCTGGACCGCGCAGGAAGGCCAGGTCGCCGGCCAGGCCGCGCAGCGCCACGGGCGTCGCCGCACCGTCC